GGCATTGACTCACATTGATTTCCTGTGCGTGGGTGTTACCTTCTAGGTTAATTCTTTTTGATCTAACCTTTTCTCTAGTACCTGTTCCCCTTTCCCCCTTGTCTTTTTAAATTGAGAGTTTTTTAATCCTCCCACTGTTTGGGCTTGCAGCTCACAGCCTAAGGATAGGAAGTACAATTCGCTGCCTGGTTTCCTCTGTGATTTGCTGACAATGGCGTGTGATGGCATCTCCAGCTGTCAATGGTGATGGAGTATGACTCTCATCATATGCCTGTCAGCTCCAGGCTGACTCTGAAATGGGGCCACAAACAAGAGACAGAGAACTGCAGCTTTGTAAGGTGGTCAAATGTCATATCTAGAACTAGATGCTCCCCTAATAAAACAAGCAAATGTTGACATAAAATCCAACCCCTGTGTCAAAGCACAGGGTTTTTTTTTAAGTGTTGTTTATACATACACAATTTTAATTAATGTGAATCTTAAGTTCACAGCTTTATAAATGTTTACATATGTGTACCCCTGCATTACCAAACATGTAGGTGAAGACACAGAACATTACCAGCATCTTATCAAGGTGCCTCTATCTTCCCTTATATTTAATACTCCCTTCAAAAGGCTACCACTAAATTAAAAAAAAACAAACAAAGGTTTGCCACTTCTCACCTCTGTTCACATAGATTAAATTTGCCCGAATATGAATCTTTTTGCAATGACATTGCATAGTTTTATTGTTTGTGTTTCATTAAGCATTATGTCTAAGAAATTTTGTTCACACTTTTGCAGTAATAGGAGTTCCTGCTGTGTAGTAACACATTGCATAAATATCCCATATATATAGATAGATAGATAGATAGATAGATAGATAGATAGATATTTTTTAACTCAGGTCATTTTGTGCTATCATTTGGGTTGTTTCCAGTTGGAGCTATTATTTTTTTAAAGTTTCTATGATTTTTAAAAAATGAAAATGCTATTTCCATTATAACAAGCTTGTGACTGGGATATTTGTATCACATTTTGTTTATAGGGAAAATGAGATTCAAAAAGATCATCACTTGGCCAATGTGAAATTACTACTAAGCAGCACAGCCAGTTTTGAAACTAGATTCTTTCTACCATTCTGCAGGTATTCCAAGAAGACATTGGGAAATCTCGCATTTTCAAGCAGGGGGATTCTTGGTTATCTACCATACGGAAATCCTTCCTGGGGATAAGACAGAAGATAGATTTGAAAACTATGTTAAATACCTGTAGAATGGTACCATAATTTATACGTTAGAAAGTAACCAAAGCATAAAATGTCTTACATTATTTCTTGCTTTAGATAGAGAGAAATGCATGCTTGTTATTTTGTAATATTTTTATTAAGGATTGGGCAAAGGCTGCTTCTCAATGGCCCAGAAAATTTGTAACTTGTGCCTTTGTTCTGGTACAAAAGAAAGAAATCAGACAACTTCTCTTGGTAAAGTGAGGCCAGCTCAGTCTGTAAAACTTGACTATGAATAAACCTTCTTTTTTCTATTTATCCTAACATAGGACTGTCCTTTCATCCAGTTTCTGAAATAAAAATAAATTTTACAGACACAGGATAGAAAAACCAGGACAGATAATATCTAATTATTACTTTAAAATGTTTTTAGGAAAGTACATAGAACCTCATTTTAGAATCACTTTGAGCAATGTCTGTTTCTTGGAGTTCTGAACCCTTCCTTTAAATACAGAAGTAATAATTTAGGCATTGGCAAATGTGCAGAAGAAAGGTAATATCACAAGTGTGAAGCTGTTTATTTTTTAACAAACCTTGCCTGCATGGTTGGCCTTTGGCTGGAAATTGGGAACTTATGTGGTAAATAGTTGGTGATGTAAAACTTCCTCTAAATGAAGAATGGCTCATTATGACTAAACTACACACCATGTGGTTTATAACGAACACCTGCTTCCTTTCTGGTAGTCTGGAATTTTAGTATGAGCTAGGCAGAAGATATGTCTTAGTAAGTTCAGGATACTAAGCAAAAATACCATGGACTTGGTGGCTTAAACAACAAAGTTGTATTTCTCACAGTTCTGGGAAGTTGGAGGTCCACAACCAAGGCACCAGAAGAATCACTGTCTGGTGAGCACCTGCATCCTAACTTTTAGATAGCTGCCTTCTCACTATATCATCACATGGCTAAGAGAGAGATCTTTGTTTCCTGTCTCTTATTACAAGGAAGGGTTCTCCAGAGAAAAAGAACCAAAATACTGACTTTCAGCAGTCCTTCTGAACTCAAGAACTCAACTAAATTTGTTGAAATGGACAGGGAATATTTGGGCAGCAGAAATCCAAAACACATGTGTGAATGCATGTGTGTGCACAGGCACAAATACACACACACACACACACACACACACAGGACAGAGAATGAATAATGAATGTAGGAATATGAGGGACTGATTCATGCAATTATGGAATTTGAGATATTCCAAGATCTGCCATCTGTGAGCTGGAGAACCAAAACAATTGGTGGAATAATTCAGTCCAAGTCTAAAGTCCTAAGAACCAGAGAAGCTACTGGAGTAAGTCTCTGCCCAAGTGGTGGGTCTGGGGATCTAAATGACAG